CTGCGTTCCCTTGGCTCCTTTGTCCTGCAGGGAGCTATCTTTAGCTTTTCTTAGATGATGATTTGTATAAACCCATCATGGAACGCAGTTGCTCTGGTGATCTATTATTCCCTAATTTCAGGCTGATTCGCAAGGTCACATTTGGCTGACTGAACAGCTTTGAAGTTACTGCCTTGTTTAAAAAACAGGGGAGGGTGGGTCATTGCAAATCCGTGTGTGCACGCACTTGGGTACGTGGGTTCAGGCTGGGGAGATCTGTCAAGCCGAGCAGCTGGAGTGGGATTTCCTCTTGCTGCCTTTCAGAGGTGTGTGGAAAAGGAGTTGGGTTTTTTTTCTTTTCTTTTCTTTTTTTTTTAATCAAGAGTCTTTTAAATGCGTGTAGAACTTAACTTGATTTTTTTCACGTGTGTTTTACCTCTTCTTACTAATCCCTTCTAATGCCAGCCCTGACAGTGAGCACCTGGGGGTGCTGCCCAGCTGCCGGGTGGCTGGCCGAGCTGCCACGCGTTTGGGAGCGTGTCTGTAGGAGCTGGCTTGCTGGTTGGTTGTAGCACGGTGGCACCCGGAGCCCTGCTCCCGGTCCCTATTGTGAGGGAATGAATTAGGAACCGGGTAGAGAACACGGGACAAAGGGGCGGAATAAACGCTGGCAGCTGGTGTGCCATCCCGACCGGTGGGGAGGGAGGACGTGCTCCAGGCACAGGAGGCTTGGGTAAGAGAGGTGGGTGGTGAAATAAGCTTGCTGGCAGGCCCAGCTAATGCTGACTGAGACTGTGAGGGCTGGCCAGTGCTGGCGCCACGCGCACCTCGTCTTCTCTTTAATCTCCTTTCAGACAAGAGGGATCTTTTGAGATCAGAGAATGATGAAATGCCAATGAAACCTAAGGCTGAGAAATGCCCGAATAGTAGAAGCTGGGGAAGCTCTGTAACTCTCCATCCAGGAGGAGGTGTCAGAGGGGCTGTGCTGGAGCGGCTGCGGATGGCTCCCTGAGAGGCTGCTGCAGCAGTAGTGGCAAAAACAGTAGCGAGGACAGCCCTTCATGGGGCAGTTTTCAGGCTGTATTTGGAGATGCAATGTGCAGGAACAGAGGAATCCTTGAAGATGGTGGGAAGAAGTGCAACCCCGGGTGCTCAGCTGTACCTCTGCGAGGCTGCCTCATGAGGTTTCAGACCTACTTCAGTTATGGGAAAACACCTCCTTCCCCAGGCTGGTTGGTCGTGTAACTGTCCTCCTGCGGGGAGACACCGTGACCAGCGGCTTCCTTGGGGACCCAGCCGGAGGGAGCAGGGCTGCCTGGCATCTCCAGCACAGCAGAGGGCCTGGGACATCCTGCACTCTGCGCCCACCTCCCACTGCGTGGCTCCTGCTCCCCTCAGCCGGTTCTCCTTGAGGAGACATGTGGGCATCGTTGCCACCTGCCTGCATCCTCCCGTGGCCTGGGCTGCTCCGTGGCCGTGGAGGGAAAGCGGCTGGCGGGGCCCTGGCACCGGGAAAAAAGCGCGTGCCCCCCGCGGGGGAAGGAGCCTGCCGCTGTTTAGGAAACCAAGCTCACGTGGGGAAGCGGGATGTCGGCTTGGGCTTTCCCCAGTCCTGGAGCAGATGCCAACCCCGGGCAGTCTTGGCCAAACTGGCAGCGAGCGGAAGGATCCAGTCCCATTCCTACCAAAACAAAATGCTAAATTTCTAAAAAAAAAAAAGAGCGGTCTCCTTGGGGAAAGCAGGACTTGCTGCTTCACCTGGCCTTGTCTCTTCCTCCTCCGGCCAGGTCGCACTATTGCGTTTGTACCAATGCAACCGTTCCCGTGACATTGCAGCTGTGGGCAATAGCTGCCTCGGACGACAGTTTCATTGCACCACTGAAGCTGTGCAGGGTTGGGAGTTGGTCAGGAGACGTCCCCAAAAAGCCAGCCCCCCTCAGCCCTGCCAAAGCCATGTGGATGAGTCAGGGAGCAGCAGCCTCCTCTGAGTCAGCGGGAGCTGGAGAAGCTGGGCATGCTGGGGAGCGTCCCCAGCCAGAGCACCGGCCTCCCGCTCCCGTCACCTCTGCTTATTGCACTTTCCCAGACGCTCTAGAAACGAGCTGAAGTTTCTCAGCCAGAGCCTTGCCCGCGTGCCCATGCTCCTGCCTGCTGCACTGATAAATCGCCACGGCGGGGAAATGAAATAGTTTTGCTCCAAAAAAGGCCATGGGTGTTGCCTGGTTGGCAAAGGGTATCTGCCTCGTTTCTTGCGTATTAGCAATGGGTGAGCAATGCCGGCTTGCGTGGCCCGTAAACGCTCTGGAGCGCTTTGTGAAGAAGGCTGTGTGAAGGCAAAGTCATGCTGCAGCTCGCTGTTGCGCATAAGCATTGTTATTAATACCTAGTACCTATGAATCCTCTTAGAGGGAGGGTGAATGGCAAGGATGAAAGTACTCGTTTAAACACAAAATATTTCAATGAAAAGCAAAGAAAATGTAAAGTAAAGCTCAGTTTATTACTGGCAAAAAGTGGGCTGTGTTTGTTTATTTGCAGGGCCTTAAAAATTGCTCTCGAACGCACAGATATGTTTATTGTGTGTCTATCTGCCAGCTGACAGCATTGATGATACGGTTTGACATGTATGGTGAATACATGTAGATGAGGTGAATTACTGTAGATGAGGTGAATGGGGAACTGAAACAGTCGTCCGTTCCTTGATGTGAGATCATCTGGCGTGGAGAGCTTTTCTGCGATTACGGAGGCACTGCACAAATTCCTGTCTTGCACCTTGATGTCAAGCCCTGCTCTGCTGGGTGCTCGTTTGGCTCTCTTGCATCACTTTAAGTAGGAGTAATTCTTCAGAAAGCAATGGGGATGATGCTTTGTGTGACTGTGCAGGGCTGCGTGGCTCTGTTCAGTCCTGGGAGGGAGATGTTCTTGTTGAAGTGAGTCATAGCATCAGTATATATGCTTGATGCCTCAGAAGTTGAGTGATGTGAATGACAGTCCTTTTCTGTGAATGCCAAAGCTCTGATATCAACGATGCTAAAAGATGCTCACTTCAACATTCAGTTACTCTTGTTGCTGTTTTCCCTATCCTAAAACAGCTATGCGCTGGGATTAAAAGCCAGAGGAAACCTTAAGAGATCTGCAAGCGAGACTCTTCCAGCTGCCCGGGTTGCTGTCACGTACCAAATCTGTGTGCTGGTTTGTTTGGTTGGCTGCTTGGTGTTTTTCACTAAACACTATGGCTCAGCAATTCCTGCCAAATTTGAATAGAATTTACTCTAGGTTGTGCAAAATATTCGGAACAAAAAGTAGAACTTGTCCAAACTACAGCTTTTTCTTTGTTTTTGCAGTCTTGAAGATGCATTAATTTTACGAAAATTCCCTCATGCAGCTAATGAGTTCTTCACTTGCAAAATGTTGCCATTTTTGAGGGTGAGAACAGGCTCATCACCAAAAAGTAAAGATAGCCTTGAATTTTTTTATATGCTCGCTACAAAGCCATCATTTTGCTTTCACATGAAGAAGAATTTAAACCTGAGAACTAACAAAATACCCCTGACATGAAAACACAGTATTTCTGTGTGTAAAAGTTTCACAACCTTTCACTACTTTTGCAAAAAGTACAGCCAGCTCCTACCTGGTTTTGTGTGTAATGTTATTTGTTCATGAGAAATGCTGTCTCACGTAGTGTAGGAGTCGGAGAAAATGCTGGAGAAGTTATTTGAATATTTAAATGAAACATTCTTTGCCTCTGACACGTATTGATCTTTGCCTGAGGGTGAACAGTGCCAATTAATTTCTAACTGTGGTGCCATTTCAAATATTTTCTGCCGAATATATTGAAATCTTTAAAAACGTATAAAAATCCTGATTGTATTTTGTATACTTTTGCATAATGACAAGTATTGTTCAGCTCCCAGACTAGGGTAACCACAACAGCATGGCAGCTGATGTGTTGTACCTTGTCTGTCCTGGGCCGTTTGGCATGACTTTGCCCTCTGCCACCACTGGGGTTAAGGATGTGAAGGGGTGGTGGGATGAGATCAGGACTGCACTCGGGAACAGCAAGGAGAATTCGCTGTTGCCGAGGAAAAGACCTATGCTGCAGTCTGGGGACAGTTTGCAAAACCGAGAATCTCTGAAAATTGAGGGTGTTTTTTTTTTTTTTTTTTTTGCACCAGGAGAGGATGTTGGACTGAATGTTTACTAGTTTATTCTGAATGTTATAATCCCTCTTTGGCCATAGTGTTCCTTGAGTTGGAATTGGAAAGTGATTGCCTGTAAGCATAGGGCTGGATCCCTTCTATCTCTCTTCCTTTTCTAACAAATATTTGTGATTGTATTTTCTGATCATCTGAAGCTTCCTCATGTGAATCCTGTTACCAGAACTTGTTGACATGATATGGAGCCAAACAAATCATCACACAGAACTGAGCTTTTCATTCAAGAGCTTGAATTCAGCTTTGGTTTCATTAAGCCTTTTTTTTGGCTGGCCTTTGCTGTATAAGAAAGGTTGTGGGGGGTTTTTCCCTTCACCAAAACCTGCTTCTCAACCTTTTAGTTTTCCGTAGTCCTATTTGGAACCAGTTTTGTGATGTGATGGTCTCAGTCCAGCTCCTTGTTGACAAAAGTTGACCAAAATCACACCACCTCAATCAATGCAAACGGTATCTTTGACAGAATCAGCAGAGAGGCCAGCAATTAAATGGGCAGAGAGGCTGAAGTTTCTTCTTAGCCTTGCAGGTGATCCCTCTAGGTCAGGGCTTGGGTAGCAGGGGGCAGACAGGGCAGTGTGGAGAAGTTTGCACTGCTCTGGTCCATGCTGCATCTGCTCTGAGCACTTGAGCTTCCCTGGCTGTTAATCCAGTACTTTTCACGAGCATTAATTGTAGTTAAAAATAATTAAGCGAATCTAATATTTACCTATTGCCAGATCACATCCCATTTATAAATATGCATTTTTTTAAATCCATGATTGCTCAGCTTCTGTAGTAGTATTTATAGTCTTAAAGAGACCCTTCTTTTTCCAGAAGAACCGACTCCACATAAAACCAACAGCCCACCCTCTGGAGTTACATACGCTCATGATGACTTGGACTGTGGCCTCAAGCCATGCCCCCTGGCTTTTTCTAGCCTTTCTGCAGATCCCATGGGCAGATATGGACAGCCAGATAGCATAGGGACAACACCTGCACACCCTGCAAACGCTGCAGGGGCCTCTGCTCCGAGCCCTAGGATTGAAATTACTCCATATCATGAACTGATTCATTCAGGGGGTCCCTTCCGCAGCAGAGACACAGATCTCTTGGTAGAACATCAGTCAAACTCTGCTACCACTAGCCCCAGGGTTACCCTGCCTGTCCCTGGCTTTGAGGGCTACAGAGAACCGCTGTGTTTGAGCCCAGCTAGTAGTGGCTCATCTGCAAGTTTCATTTCAGAGACAAATTTCTCTCCTTACACATCACCATGTGTTTCACCAAATAATGGTCCTAGTGATGACCTTTGTCCACAGTTTCAAAACATCCATACTCATTATTCTCCTAGAACCTCTCCAATAATGTCACCACGAACAAGCATCACGGAGGAAACCTGCTTGGGACAACATTCACCATCACCCCGTCCCAACTCAAGGTCTTCATCACCAGGTGCAAAACGGAGGTACTCTTGCACTGAGCTCTACAATACTCAGCCGCCTTCCACTTCTCCACGACAGTCAAGGACCCCCTCTCCACAATCCTCTCCTCGCATCCCTTTGAGAGAAGACAGCTCTTCGGTTACTTACACACAGTTGCCCAGCGCTTCTATTTCCATGGATGCTATGAACAGCCTTCCTACGGATCCTTCTTGTGGTGTTCCCACAAAAATTTGGAAAACCAGCCCTGATCCTTCATCGATGCCTTCCCACAAAAACAGCATTCCATGTCACGTCTTTCAGACTGTTGACTTCCATGGGCCTTGTGAGCAGGAGGACAGGAGAAACTCAGCCCCAGAATCGATTTTGTTGGTACCTCCATCTTGGACAAAGCAGCTGATGCCTGCAATACCTCTCTGCAGGTATGTAACACGTACTGTGCTTGTGTGTTTTCTTATCTCCTGAGGCCCTCTGCCATGCGTGGTGACTCCTAGGAGGTGTTTCCTTGGGTGGATCTTCCTGCAGAACAGAGCTAAATATTCAGGGATGGCAGTGACTGTGCCAGGGTGCATGTGAACCCATTATGATTCTGAGATAAATCTGGGTTTTCAAAGAAACATCATGAAAGTTGTTAGTGATGCCACAATATACAACAAATTCACCTCAGTTTGCCAAACTACTTGTCCAAAAAGCAAATTCCAAGCAGCTTTTGACAAAGGTCAGAGACTCTCGCTCTGTCCAAACACTTTTAAAGAAAATGGTTTGATTGCTTCTCTAAATTCAGTGAATATGTCACTCAGAAATTTCCTTCAAGGATGGAAATGCTTTAAATAATTCCTGATTCAAAATAGAGAATACTACTCCAAGTCAGACTGAACATTCATTCATCCCCTAGTGATTTATTGCTGGTTGTTAATTTGTTAATTGTCATTTAACTAAAATCTCAGTCGCTTGCCCTGCCCTCATCAACTTGCTCTATTGTCTGACGCTGGCACTAGAGACACCCGGCAGCACAGCGTGCAGGTTTGGACCCTGCTCAGCTCGTATCTGCCAGGATAGTGGTTTCCAAACTTGTGACTCCACTTCCAGTTGCAACTGGAATCCTGTCAGCCCTCTTGTCGGCAAGGTTATCCCCATGCTGAGGTTATCCCATGCTGTTCTGGACCAAGTAAACACAAATTGCAAGCAAAAGAACATGGGCCGTGACTTTCCATGCTTTGTTAGAGCAGTCTTGGCAGCAGCTTATACTAATAAGGTAACGGTTGGTTAAAATCCAGCACAAGTTCTTATCGTACTTCTTAATGTATTCATTTCATGCGATAAACTCTTGTCTGTTTCATAACAGGAAAACTAGTATCAGGTAAGAATATTTAGCATTTTATTCTTGTTCCTCTTGTTATTTATAGAAATCAGAAATTTTATTTTAAAATAGTATTTTTAAAGAAACTACTAGTTTATGCAACTGGTAAGTAATGGTGAATGGAGATAACATTTCACAATATAGATTAGCTATGCTCAAAGTTTAAGATGCATAGCAAAAATTAGATAAAAGAGGCGGGATCTTTGAAATAACATTACCACTACAGACACTTCTATTTAAGAGTAGGGAGTTCCCTTGCTTCTGCTAGGAGAGGAGCCCACAGAAAACACTGATTACAAACTTTGCTGAAAGTCAGGATGAACGCAAAGGTGATTAGGGCAGCATATGCTCGCTGAAATTAATAGCAAGCGCCCAGTCATTTCAGCGAGAGGAGGAGAGCAGCCACGTTGGGGTACTTGGAGGAAGAGCAGAGCAGAGCAGGGCTTTGAGAAATAAAGTACTAGAAGAGTGTCAGACTGTGTGATCTCGCCCTGCCCAGCTTGCCCGTGCAGTCGCTCCCACCGCTCGAGTGGCCGCTCCCCAGCCAGTCTGGCTCTTACGAGTTACGGATCGAAGTGCAGCCGAAGCCCCACCACCGTGCGCACTATGAGACGGAGGGAAGTCGGGGGGCGGTTAAGGCACCAACCGGAGGTCATCCCGTCGTCCAGGTAAGGGATTGGAGAATACCTGGATAACAATGAAGTTGGGGATGAGTTCATTTTTGAGCATCTTGCTTGGGGATGACCCTGAGAAGGGAGGAGCGTATGCATCTGGGTGTGTTTGTAAACAGACGTAACTGTCTCAGGTTGGACAGTGACGAATTTCTAGAAGTTTGGAAGCTTGGCTTGGATTAGCTTGTGAAAGCTCAGACATTCAGCCAAAGTATTTGCCATCTTTTCTGTGCTAGATATTAAACCTCCTGTGATCAAACTCTGTCATAAGCTATGCAGCTGTTCTGGACTCCAGCTGTACCCATTTTGTCTTGGAAACCCTCTTCTGTGTCGCTTATGGCTTTTTGTGAGGTTCAAAACGTGCAAACATCCTAGCTTTCAAGCTCAGCTTAGCATGGCGTCCAAACTGCGATTTAAAATAAATAGCAGATCATGTTAGATCTGAAGTAAAAGCGGTGCATGAAAGTGTTGGACCTTGCTCCTCTAGCTCCCTTCAGTGCAAGTTGGTGTGACAGGGAGGTGCTACGTGTATTTCTGACCCTGTTTGATCCTTGGCTCCCCGCTGTTGCCTACAACCAAATGGTACGAGATTCATCCAAAACCTTTTAGCGTTTAAGAGAAGGCAAGGCAACCGTCGTTAACCTTACCAATAGATGGATTAGGAATGAATTTATGGAGCTTAAACTGCAGTTTCCCAAGAGTTAGTAACACAGCCCTCATGCAGTCCAGTTGCTGACCTCCAGCTTGAGGGCTTCCCCGTCAGGTCAGGCCACGCCACGTGGGATGGCTGCGGTTGCCAGCTGCTCTGTCTCTGCCATCAGACCAGCTGCTTGAATCCCTCCTTCCAGCAGTCGCTGAACCAACGTAATCCAAAACTGAGACGTCTTCAGGGCAGGCTGAGTCTGAGGTTGTGCAGACCTTTCAAATAGTTTGGGAAATTAATTTCAAAATTATTTTGGGCTAACAAATCACTTTTTGCACAGTAGTGCAAACTCTTCTGTCTTCTCATCTGTGCCTCAGGGGCTTTCAAAACCTGATTTCTCTTCTCATACGCTGCTCGGCTCCTTTTCATTTCATTGTAGTATCAAGAGTCTGCTCACCCGTGTAAAAGAGGAAAATGTGGCCAAGTGTTTTTCTACACAGTGGGAAGCTTTTGCTTATATAAGGGGGGTAGGAAGCTCAATTAGCTGACATGAATCCTTTGTATATGATACTGTGAAGCAGTTTTATTTTTCCAGCGAGATTTCTCTTCCTGCCTCCCCCCCCACTGCTAGTCATGTTTTTCATGCATTTCCATTTTTCCTTAGCTCCTGTCTCTTTTCCTCTCTTGTTTTTCTCTCCCAGGTAGGTAGCAAAACTTCTGATTTTAAGGACATTTAAGTTTAGGTCAGAGAATGTCGTCTGTGTATAATTCAGGCACTCATTTTGGTTGATCTGTAACTTGCTGACACTGGGTCCTCCCTCGCATGCAGTTCTGCTCGTCATCTGTGGCAACGCTGCCTTCTTCTGATGTCTGGATATGTGACTCCAGTAGGAAATCTCTGCAATAGCTATAGTTGTGGTGTGATAGGAACAGAGAAGGACAACTTAATTACGCTGCGGTGGGGATGATTTCAAAGACAATTTTGATGGCCTCTCTAAAGCTGTAAATACAGAGAGGGTCATGTTTCCTGATTTTGTGACCCTAGAGAGAAAGGGTGAGGGAGTTTCAGCAGGAGCTCACTTGTGAATTGGGTTGGTGTCACTACAGAAACAACTGAAAGGGGCGAAGAGGCTGCAAACTGACAGCAATGGAGGTAACCAAATTTGCCTGTCTGCTAACCTGAAAGGAGGATGAGCTGAACCATTAGTCTGTTACAGAGGGTGGAGGCCTTCTCCTTCACCATGGCAAGTTTTGTGTAAAATAATGATTGCATAGCTGAACTGTGTTCATTTGGGGCCACGTCAGTCTCTTCATTCATTTCCTCCTGATTTCAGCTAATACCAGTCAGGAAGTAAAGCCACGCTTTTGGCTGGGGTTGCAAGGTGCTATTATGATATTGCTAGTAATGATATACAGTAACTGTACACATCAACCACAGCCACAACTTCTATTAAGTGAAGTTAGGGTGCATCCTACATGTGCTCCTGTCACAACCATGACTTGCCATGGCAAGGCTAAGCCAGGAAAACATTTGAGCCTATGCTTAATTTTAAGGATGTGATTAATACCACTAATTTCACTGGTTGATTTGTGCTTAACATCAAACATATGTTAAATGTTCCCCTGAAGGCTCAGCCCCTTTTAAAATCAAGCCATAAATTGTTGTATCAATGAGTTTGTTTACTTCATTTGGGCTGGACTTGTGTGCATGGGTTGGATATTTGAGGAAAGGGTGCAGGGTAATAATAAGTAGTGATCACATTTGATAAACCTTAAGATGTGCAGTCTTTTTAGATTATGAATCTGACAAACTCTTAACCCACTGTGATGTGTTTGCAGCCTCATGGATACACAAACTCCAGTCAGCACTTACTCTTTTCTCAGCATGCTTGTATCGTTTGCCTTCCCAATATATTCCTATCAACAGGATGTTTATTACAATGAAGGAGTTTCTTGTGAAATGGGGAAATAAAAGTGCTTTATTTCCTTCCTGTAATCATTATCAATCAGAGAGGAATTTATATTTTCTGTTGGAGACAGGCACTGACATTCCTAGTTTTATCCTAATTTACTATCAGGCTTAAGGGATGCTGAACTGTAAATTCAAAGATCCGTGTTAAAGACTCCCAAGCAGATGTGCCTCTGCACAGCTGTGCCTGCATATGGGGAAAATATGGACAGTTTCTTTATGGAGGTTTATTATAAACATGGAAGTATTCATTGGATTTGTGTTCATTTTAACATAACAAGGTTCATATGGGTACAATGCAATGAGATAGTTGCACCTGTATAGTTTATGACATCTGAAACTTGTGAAAGCTAGTAAAATCCCAAGTTTTCATGTCGTAAAAGTTATTTGGCTCCAAGTTTTTTTTTTATTTTTTCCCCTCAGTGAATTTCAACTTTTGTATTTTTGTCGAGTTCAACAGTACAAAAATAGACAAAATGAAACAGGCAAGCATCCATTTTTAAATAGTAGATGCTGTGTTGAGGAAAGTATGCAGGAGTTAAAGGCAACTGGTTGCAATGAAATTAAATGAAATGAGTTTTCAACAAGATCTATCACTTCCCAGTCCCAGAGTGGGGAATGGTGCTGCTTGCCTGGGGATAACAGGGCTGTAGCTCTCCTATGGGCTACAAATTTTCGGTAGAGACTTAGGGCACCTTGGAAATGACAGACTTGAACCCACCATCCTGCGGATTTTTTGGAGTGCTAGGACCTCTCCATAGCAACTCCCCTGAATTCAGTGCTCTGCCTTATATCCTTGCACTTAAATACAGAGAAGCCAAACTTATCCAGTGTGGAAGAATCCCATCAGAGCAGCGTGGTTTACACTATGACTGAATGCCTCATTTAGGTTATTAAATTTTACAGCCACTTTTGATAGAATGCAGTTCCAGCATTTTGATTAACTTCTTTAAAATATTGTCTGATTCTTAATTTTTTCTAACAGCTTCCCTTTAAATTAACCCTTCCTGTGACTCATTATCCATCTGAACCTTCTACAGGAGAAAATGCTGGCTTAGTTTTGCAGCGTGGTGTTGACCTGCAGTATTTATTTTTTGAAAACTGTTTTGCATGCAAGTTTCTTTTGGGTGCTCTGAAGCTACAGACCAGCAGATCTCATATCCTCCAGGCCTTATCTTGTGGTTTATCTTTCTGATGCTGCTTCCTCTTCTTCACGTGTCTAGCCCCGAGAGTTTGTGCACAAGACTCTGCACCAGTTCTGCACTCTCAGCGTAGCAGAAGGAGAGTCTGATTAAACCAAAACCTCTGGTTAGATGCTCCATACAGAAGAGGGCATTTACTACTTTGTTTACCTGGGCAGAAGGAAGAGAGAAGCCCATGTAACGTTCACACCACCTAACTTTTGAGTCCACCTAGAGCTGCACAGAGAAACGTAGGCTCCCAGTTTAGGTGTTCTGAATCACTCTTGGGAGGAAGCTGCAGCTTGCTATTAACTATAGAGAAGCTGGGCTTCTATTTTAGGGACCTATGTTGAATGCCAATATTTAGACAGTGAGAGTATCCCCTAGATGTTAAGTCACTGAAAACAGCAAGGAAATCCGGTGTAGCAAGGACAAAGCTGAAGTTTACGTACACCTATTGCCTTGCAGGTCCACCCAGTCACTGAGACTGCAGGCGAGGGGTAGACATTATTTTTCTCCTCCTTTCCAACTCTTTCAGCAAGTTAGAAGGGCCACTCTTGTTTGTACTACAGCTGCCCCGGTCAAAGCTCTGAAAGAGGCTGTCCCCTGTGAAGGGCAGAGACTGCTCCTGCATCAAGAGCTTACAGATAAGACTGGGATTGAGATGGCAGTCGAGAACCAAACCTAGTTCTATCCAAGGTCCGCCCAGCAACAGACTCCCTGTCCAGAGGGGTAAAAATCTCCGTCTCTGCATGCTTTTAGGCAAACGTCTGCTAGAATGGACATGGATATATTTGAATTCTGCTGGGGACAGGAGAGATGGATCCCTTGAGATCTCTCACAGCAGTATTTTCAATAATGTCTCCAAGAACTCCCACCACTCAGAAGATATTAACATTTGGAGGTTGTTGGCATTGCTCACTCCCTTGCAGCCCCATTGCCCTTGACACGTGATAACGCTTGAGTCATGCTAGATGCTGGCATGGGTGTCTCTTTCTCATACTGCCCACAAAAAAATGTTGAAATAAGACCTCTTCCCTCTGTTACCTCCCAAAAAGGAGGGGAGAGACAGAGGATCCTAAACAGAGATTTTAATTTTTTCAGAAAAGGTTCTTCTATCTTTCAATTGTTTAAGATGGTGCTGAGAAGGAAAGACCACCTTAGTGGCAAAGACTGGGTTTGGAGGAGCTTCACCCATGGTCAA